TTTGTGTGGACAAACAAAGAAATTAGCAGTTTTAGGTTCTGGGCTCCACAGCAACCAAACAACTGGAACAACGGAGACTGTGTGCACACTCTTGGCGTGAGGCATGGATACACTTGGAATGACGTGCCATGCGATAAATGCTTCAACTTTACTTGCTTTACAGGTGATTAATCTCTTGCTTAATGCTGTTAAACTACATTGTAATCTACTTATAAAAAAACATGGTAGACTCCCAGAATTTAGCCAGGATAATCTTGCACGCTCAAAAAATCCATGGTTCATTTTCAAAATAATTTCTTACAAACCAATACTTTAAACATTATTCGTGCATTTGATGACTATTTCATTTTTTCCCAATTTAATTGTTGCAGATTTGGAGGAATGCTCCACCAACACTCATAACTGTGACGTGAATGCAGATTGTGTGAATACCGTGGGCTCATATTCCTGTAAGTGTAGAGCTGGATATACCGGAGACGGACAAACTTGTAATGGTAAGAAATCTACCAACCAACCATCAAACAAACAACATTAGATGTTGATACTACTAATCAAGCAATACTGAAACAAACAATATTCGATGTGGATACTGAATTTAATAACAATTTCACTTTATTTTCAACAACTATGAAATTTCTCCTGGATTGATAGGTTTAAAAGAAACTGTAATCAACCGCTCTTGTGTAATGAGAAGGCGGATAGAAAAAAAGGTTCAACCCTGTAGTAGCTTTACTTTTTAATAGTTTCGATGCCTGCGCCAGTGGTTTATAACCAGGGTAATATAAATCATCCAAAACCAGAGAATGAATCAGAGAGCTGTGTGCTTCTTTTTTAGTCTCTGTGAAATGGTCAGACTAACGACAACTCAACGTTTATCCATATTTACTCCTTTAATCTTGTTTTAGACATAGATGAGTGCTCTTCAAACTCTCATAACTGTAATGCGAATGCTGTTTGTAACAATACTCGTGGATCTTACACTTGCGCGTGCAAACCTGGATACTCAGGAGATGGCAAAAATTGCACTGGTAAGTTATATCTGCTTAACAAGAACTAAAAAAATACTGCGAAATGAAATGATACCACATGAAAATCAAGCTATACGCCCACAGTATGGGACGAAATTTTTTCTGGTCCTAATTTTTGCGATTTTCAAGTTGCATTTTTTCCACAATTCGCAAACAAAATTTTACTCCATTGTTGAAATTATACAAACAAGCCTCACATGCAGAATCTTGTTGATGCCATTTATTTAAAACGTCTNCTCTTCAAACTCTCATAGCTGTGATGTGAATGCTGCTTGTAACAATACTCGTGGATCTTACACCTGCGCGTGCAAACCTGGATACTCAGGAGATGGCAAAAATTGCACTGGTAAGTTATATCTGTTTAACAAGAACTACAAAATTTGATGATTGAAAGAAAAAAAAGCATTGCGACAGGACGCCACATGAAATTCAGGCCATTCGCCTAGAGTGTGGGACAAGTTTTTTTTGGTCCTAATTTTTGCGATTTTCAAGTTGCATTTTTTCCACGATTCGCAAACGAAATTTTCCCGTAATACTCCATTTTTGAAATTATACAAGTAAGCCTCATACGCAGAATGTTGTTGATGCCATTTATTTAAAACATCTCTTTAAATAAAATGATGAAATTGCTTATGGCACACGACAGGTGTAGTTGCTAAAACTTGACAGAAAAGGATCATCTGAAGGCACTATAAGCCACACTGGGGCAGAAATCTGAAAATTGCATAAATTGATACCCAGCACGAAAAACCAGTCCTTTACAATCCCAAATGTTTTAATATGCAAACATGTTCTATTGACCAGGAACTGCAATATGGCTTCCATGACAACGCTCTACAACAAGGGTTACTTCCCTTCAGAGGTTTTAGTAATAAACATGGTGAGCCTCTATTCACGATAAAGTACTACTAAAGTACTATCAACGAATACCCCTTACTTCAGAACATAAAACACTTTTTGTGACAAAGTACAACATAATTAATGTTTCCTTCTTTCTTCTGCCCTGTTCCTTATTACCCACAGATATCGATGAGTGTGTCAGCGGTGTACACGACTGCCACCGTTCAGCTTCATGTACTAACACTGTAGGATCCTACACATGTACGTGTAACCATCCTTTATCAGGAGACGGAAAAACCTGCAGGTACACCGCTGCAGGTGAGTATTTCACGTTGATTGTGCTTCAATTCAGGTAGCAGTGGTTAGAATTAAGCTCAACTTGTCCACCAAATATGATGTCAACAAAACAAACAAAAACTGAGATTTCTTGGTCATTGCTTTCTTTTTTGGGATGGTTTAAATAAAACCAATTCTCCAAAACTAACTCATGAATGATGCATCTCTCCGCCAATGTTGCAAATTCGAACCACTCAGGGAACCAATCAGAATTCTCCTTTACATTTTTGATCAGTTTGCCATATTGGATGACTGTTACTGTTGCAACTAAAAGAGAACACGACTCAGTAATGTTGTTTGCTACCTTCTCGTTACTACAGATAGGCTTTGACATTAACATTAACCACACTTAGAAAGGACAGGGGTGGGGTGTGGACCGGAAAGAGCCCACGTGGACTTAAACGGTTAAAAACGTTTTTCAAAATTTAAATATTTACAAAAGCTGTCAAATTTCGTGACTTCATCCGCCGCTGGTGTTTTCTATTCAGAATTCTGACGTCGGCGCTGAGCATTGGTGATAATATTACGTTTACCTTACCAATACTATCCGAATATTGTCCTGTTCAGGATTTAAAATCATCTATTGAGAGTATTAATCAATGCGACCCAAAATTTAGAACGAGATATTCTAGATAAAAGATATTTTAAGTTGCACGGTGGCATATAACGACCACATATAAAATATGTTTCCGAACAAAGAGTGCATCCAGTTTAGTTAGCGTCACATTTACGTTGCAAGCAATGGTGGTCACCTTATAATTGGTGAAGATGACAGTGTTATTAATACTTACCAAAACCAACTTTCAACATGGTCCACTAAAACAAATGCTAGGTACAAAATAGATCCAAAGAACGTTCTTATATGTTATTTTTGCAGCGGGTGTTAACTATTCCAGCATTGTGGGAAACAGCCAGAATTTTTTGACACGGCTGGATAAATGGTTAAAGCCTGTGACTCGCCAATCTTCTTACTGGAATCGCTGTTACCAGGCAACTGTTAATGGCTGGTCTTCCTCTACCTTCCATTCAAAGTGTGACGGCAAAGGTCCAACTATCACAATCATCCGCGTTGGGAAATATATTTTTGGAGGATACACAAGTGTGTCATGGAGTAAGTGACATGATCAATTTCATCTTATCACTGGCGTCCTAAATGCCTTACCTTCCTTCCCTGTTTACATAGATCTTCACTGATTAGGGAGATAACGGGATGGAAGAAGCGTCAACTTGGTACAATCGCTTCGAATCATTAAAAGAAATGGAACAGAAGGAAAATAAGTCAACGACACTAAGAATTTTCTGGTCAATTCATTGCGATGAACAGGACGATACAAACACTTGCATTTTTATACGGTACAGTGGTGTTCCTGGCTAACTGACAGCTTTACAGCTCGATATTAATTTTATGAAATTTTTTAAATAGGGCATGGAAATCATGTTCAGTCTGAAATTTAGACAGCGGTTCCCAGCCTCCCTCCGGGCTTGCTCATTCAAGAAATTAAATTGTTGAAAAGTTAGGACACATTTAACATACAGGAACTAGAGAACTTAAGATTAACACTACAAGAAAATATACCGAGCTACGAAGAACACCATGATAATAAAATGTAGTGATTCAATTGAATTAATGTTGTAATACGTCATTAGTAAACTGCCCAAAGTGTCAGTAAACATCATAAATGTTGGACTTCTTTTTCCATTGTGTATTTCTAATTAGGTTACGGTTGTTCATGGCACTACGATTCAGCAGCCTTTCTCTTCTCATTGGTTAACAAGCCAGGTTGGCAGCCACTAAAGCTAGACCAAACAGGAATGTATAGTTACCGGAGAACCTATTCCATCTTCAGCTGCTCCGATCGTGGACCATCATTTGGACAAGCACACGACATTTACATTGCCAGCAACGCTGGATCAAACACCAATTCTTACGCCTCAGGCCTTGGATACACCTACAGCCCGCCAGCTGGCAACAGCTATGGATCCTCCTTCACACAATCTTTCCTGGCAGGTACTCCCTCCTTCCGACCTGACGAAGTCGAAGTCTTCTATGAAACTACCTAAAGGAATCGCGGAGCTTGGAGTATTAGTTTTACACACCCTGTTCAGTAAAATTAAACCTCTGCAAATATAGAAAGCTATATACAAACTGTTGGTAAATTATAGAAGTGCAATATAATCAGAAAATCCCAATATTTACCGATGATGTGTCAATCAATAGGTTAGTACAAAATCGAGTAGCCACGTATCATTAGTCTAAGATAAACGCGGCGGTTTACTATGAGCTTACTTTGTTGGTAATTGCCATTAAAGGATGGTTTCATGGCTCCGTGTTATAACAAGCTATAACGTTTGCAAAGCTAATGGCTTCTGCGAGACTTTTACCTCAGTCACGGTAACGCACCAGTGGGAGTAATGTTTGTCATTAGAATTCCTTTCGTGTGTTTTGATTTATACATACATTGCTTATCCACCAATTTTACTAAAGTAGATAACACGTGTGTGTATCCAGAGTAAATTCTTCGCGCCGGATAAAAAAAACTCAATGTTCATTACTAAATTCGAAATTTTCTCGATAAATCTGTTTGCATCCACTTCTTCATTGAAATTTGGCTATTAGCCATTCTGCTTTCACAAGTCATAGTCTGTAGTTGTTGAACTACATATGGTTCAGTAAAAAAATGAACAAGGTAGTAGTTTAAACTCACGCTGTAACTTGCACATGCGCTAAATCGTGAAATTATCCCTTAAGAAGGAGAATCTTGTCACTGAGTTTCAATTGATTGAATTCCACGAACATCATACCAGGATAAGTTGCAAGTTACAGGATTCCAGCTGGTTTTGATTTCTTATTTTATTCTAATGAGTGGATTTAGAAAAAGGAGACTGAGAATGTAATGATAGCGTAAACAGTTTTTTTGGTTTGTGCAATTAAGAATTGTCTTTTGGGAGTGCTAAGGTAGAAAATAAATACAAGTGTCAGACACACCGTTGTAAACGTTGGTAACAAAACAGAGCAGGGTGAAAATAACCCGTTGTTTTATGTTTGTGTTCCTTTTTATCTAGGTGGAAAGAATTGTTTTAAAATCACTTTTATTGTGAATCCCCAAAGTGTAATTGCCTCTGTGAAACCAGCCTTTAGGGAGATCATGGTAGTTGTATTTAAAGTTCCCAATGGCTGTGACTAAAAGTGGGACGGGGACGTGGGGACTAGAACTTGGGGACTGGGACGTGGGACGTGGGACTTGGGGACGTAGGACGCGAGGACGCGGGGACGTGAGCACGTAGGACTCGGTGACTTGGGGACGCGGAGATGTGGGGATGTGGGACGTGAGGACGTTGGGACTCGGGGACTCGAGGACGTGGGACGAAGGGACTCGTTGACGTGATAAACAAACAACACCTGTTTTTTGTTTGTTTTTTTTGTGCTGAATTTGTAAAGTACAATTTTCGGTGGCCAAGAGAAAGGTATTATAATTTTATGCTGGACAGTTTGTCAGCAGACCAGTAGCTGAAGATTTCCAGCGTCCATGGTTCGGCAAGTTCGGCCTGATATCAGTTGCTTTCCTATTTTACCATGCGAGCTCTGAGTACAGAATAGTTTCAACGCAGGGTTTCTTAAACCTCGTAAATACTGCCGTTAACAAAGTGGTGTGAACAACTACAACAAGGGGCTTTTCTTGGAGTCATGGCACACAACTTTGGGCACTGCCGCCTTCAACGAGAGGAAACCGCTCGTACGAGCAACAATAACAACAACAATAAAACGACACCAAACGGGGTTATAGCGCAAGCAATAACAAACATAAGCCAAAGAAAATTCAGCAAAGAAAAGCAACAGATCGGATAACAAAAGATCTTAGAGAAATATAAATAGCCTGTTCGAAATTCGCCCCGCAGGATGTCTTGAGGAGAACTGCCTCAGCCGGAAATGCTCGAAGGCTATATTTGCCCATTCAATAACAGTTCACAATTCAGCTGAGACTTTTATAATAGCCAAAAGCCTTCTGGTCCAGTTCTCTCTCTGACACTTTGTTATCGAGGTTTCAATCAAGTTAAAAATTACATGTGTTCGTAAACTCAACAACTCCTTAAAGTATGCAGCCGACGGCATAAAGTGCTTTCTTTTAATTTTCTTTCACTGAGCGTCGAAAATGTATGTTCTAGCTATTTCCGGCTTTTAAAATCAGTATTGTCTAGTTCCAAACTGTGTCTCTACCACTTCACAGGAGCCTGTTGTCTACAACTGCAAATTCTATTTTTATATTTTCACAGAAAACTGTCCTTAAATGGCCATTCTTAGGTCAAAGACTGTTCTGTCACAACCTGTCTGTTTTTCTTTCGGCCGCAATAATACTTCGGACTTCGGATCAATTTTGGAACGGTTCATTATCTTTTAAGGGTGTCAATCTCAGAGTGATTTTACTTAACCCGTGAAATAGTTGCTTTACAATTAGATACTATTAGATTATAATTTCCTAGTTTTCTTGTGTTAATTTTGACTTTTTTGGACTAAATATTAGCCGGTTTTTCACGGGTTAAATAAAATTACTCTAGCCGGAAAAATGTCAAAGAATTAAATTAAAATGCGTGACTATAAAAAATGCAGCAAAGCAAGCTGATTGAAGAGGCAAACGCTTATGGCACTCTTCCTTACGAGTACAAAATTTAAAGAGCTTCTACAAAGAAAGAAATACGGCCTAACCTAGAGCATGAATTTAATTATTAATGAGCTGACAAACTACAAAACTGTGAGAAAATAGAAAACCGTTCTTTTCTATCCCCCTTAAACACTTCCCCAATACTGTGTTAAGTAGTCCACGTGAGTACCTAGTGCATCATCAAAATGCAACAAGCTAAGATAATCACAATTAAACACGGTGGAATTTCATCGGATACCAGCCCCAAAGTAGAGGCTTCGTGATTGGCTCAGATACATACAAACAGTGAATCTTTAACCTTGCATAAGCTCTCTCGTCACAGCTTAATTGTTTAATGGGCCCCACTGAAGGTCACCGCTTACAGAAAGTTCGCTTGCATATATATTAAGTTAAAATCCACGCAATATCTGGCGTCTGGCAATATTTTCCCCAAAAAAGAGAAATAAATGGTCGCGAAAAGTTGTAAATTATTGGCAGAAACTGCCTAAAAATTGGCCAATTTTTGTGTGCAGAATTTGTCAAAAAGTTGCTAATAGTTCTAGAAGGAATTAGCGCGGAAAAGAGCTTTATTTTTTTGTAGCGAGGTTGTTTACAGCATCAAAAGGGTCGCTCTAAAATTGCCAAATTGGAAGAATCACATAGCACAGAATTCTCGCACTCTAATTGGTCACCAAGGCGAAGTATTTAGCGTGGAATTACGGCTCTTCAAAACGAGACTTTGCGAGATAGTTCACTCAGAGCGACAACAAAACGAAAGTGACCTTTTAATCATGTTGCAAAATCGTTGACGCAGTCCACGAAGCCAAAAACAAACACAAGTCTTTCTCAAAGTGAAAATGAAGTTTCTCCGCCCTGCTCTGAACTGAAGTACAACATTTTAGAGAGATGTAAGAAGCCGCTTACGCTCCCGAGTATCAGAAAACGACAAAATCATAACGGCTTGGACAAGGAAATTGCCGAAGTAAACGAAGGAAATCCACACGGCAAAGTTCAGCAGCCGAAGAAGCTCCAGTCCAAGTTGTGACATATGTAGAAGACAAAATGGCAGCTCTCAAGGAGAACATTACCTCACCAATTACAAAGAAAAGCACAGCTACAGTACAGCATTCATTTCGAGTATGTAGGCCATCCCATAAGGGTCACAATTAATGTTTCTGGTATCATGTTATCCTCACTCCAGTTAAGAAACTACCATCAAAATATCTTGTGTAAGATGGTTCCACTCGTGCGAAATATGCTTGCAAAGTAGACGAAGGACATCGCTTCAACCGCGTCCTTGGATGGCAAATTCACAAACTCGGGCGGCCGTAAAACAGTCATACTCAAAGCCTACGCGACGACTTTCATCCGCTTA